AAGGATGCTCGACCCGGATTGGCTGGCATTCTGACCAATCAGGGCATGCCTTCGTTTGGTCGTGTCCTGCACGTAACTCAACCGTCCAAATGATGTAGTGTTCGGTTATTAGGGACGGCTGGCACCCGAACAAGGTGCGACAGGTGGACAGACAAATAGGCTGATTATTTCGGGAACCACTTAACAAGGACAGAGTCATTGTAAGACAACCGTTACTTTTCCTGTTCCAGCCATCTTTCCATGACTTCCAGAATTGCAGACCTCTAAACCTCCTGATTTGATGGCTTGCAACAAGTGAATTTTCGAATGAAATTTGCACTGTTTCACTCCTGTCAGAATTCATTAGCATCATCGGTTTAAGAATCCTGCTACATACACCGGTTGAACACCATAGGATCAAGAGTATGAGTATTACTCATTCTTTAGTCATGCAGCCATGGAAAGAAAATGAAGCAGAAGTTGAAGATCGTCGGCTAGGGCCTTCATGACATTAGTTTGAGGTGGGACTCTTGTTCTAACCAGCCTGTGGCGGCCAGCTTAGATCATCGCACCGGTCAGCGGTTTCATGTCGCATACTTTCATTTCCTTACTCCTGCAGCATGATGTCTATTCCAAACTGACACCATTTTTTCACGTCTTAGTCGATTCAAAATTGTCCAAGTAAACAGCTAGACATTGTCTAACTCTTAATTTCTTCCAGCATAATCAAACTGTTCATTGACTGGTCTCTTTGTTTAAATGAGCACGAAAGTTGTACTTCTTCCCATGGCGGTCAAACGGCAGGTTATGTTTTTCCCGTTCGATATTTTCCCCATCTAGAGCATTATCTTGCGATTGGCTTAGAAGTGTAGCTTAAGAATACTTATGCCAAAATATTCACCTAGTTTCGTTCTTTTCAGCTCTTCTGATCGAGCTACGTTTTTTAGTCGCATGATGCCTTACTTGACACGCCACCTGTAAGCGGTTGCTACACTTGTAGCATCCGCTTTCCCATCACTCTCATTTGCACGGTACACTTATGCTGGCGGTTAGCACTCAACTAGAGTTCTGCCTTTGTTTGACCGAACAGACCGGACAGGACGAGTGTTAAGTCGAGAATAACAGGCCATTGTGTGTCACGTGAACGGCCAGTTTGCCTTAATAGGCTGTGTTTGAACACGCAACATCATTTATGCGACCACAAACTCAGCAAATCAACAGGCACCGCTGAGTCAAGCGCTCAAGTTTGTGAGTTTCACTCAACCCGAAAGTTGTGGAACGCTACGCCCCAAAAAATCGATGCGAGTTCCATTGGACAGAACATACTTAACGGGTGCATGCATTGTTCCAGCGACAGCCGTTTTTTTCTTATCATACTTCATCCACAACAGAAAACACTTGTAAATGACGGCACGCAAACGTCGCTATTTTCGGAAGGCGGGTCGATTCTGGTTTGAACGGAGACAGAGGTAGACCGGAACTCCGGAACGGAGCAGTCTTGCCACCTCACTGAGGCATGAGAACTTTCATGAACAATGTGTATATTGCGTGAGAACATTGGGCTGCCATAATCAAACGCGCGTGGGCGTTACTGATGACGCAAGTTTTTCAGGGGAGGGGGACCAATAAAAAATTTCAAAAAAATCTGTGGCCTTGTATTGTTTGCAGGCACTATACGTACACCAAATTTATTGTCGTATAACATTACACAAGTTAGGCCATCATCCACTATGAAGTGAGGACACGGAGTTTTGGCTTGGGGGTAAAGTTAGTCGGTCTGACGAAAATTCATTTTCAACAGATATTTCTTCTTGTAAGTGAAGTCAGGTTACCGTTGAAGACTCAACCGTTCGGCCACCATCGGTCGATCAGCAGTGTGATTAATCCTCGTTTTGACAAGATACAAGGCCATCATCCACCCAGGTGGTCAGGTATTGACAAGATCCTCGAGTGACAACTGCTCAGCTGAAAGTTTTACTCTTCGCTTTGATTCTTCTTCCTTCTGAGTTACATATAGATCAATCATTTCTTGAAAAAATCAGCAGTTTGTACCGCACGTTCAGCATACTGCGAACCAGAAGAGGTGAGCGAAGCGTCAGGAGCTGTGGAATAATCGCTCATCTGAAAGAAGCTTCTGGCACATCGCTTCGATCCCGGCCGGGAGAAGCAGTAGGGCTGAGATACTGCTAGGTTGTTCAAACCTAGACAGGAGCAGCCGAAGTGCCGGGGTGAGGTTCGAACCAAAAACCTCCCGGTCAGTAAATTTGCACCTTAACCATTGAGTCATCTCGTATTCGTTAAAGTACCCAGTGCTTCGCCCACATTGTCTTGTATCGATTGTCAACAGTCCCTCATAAGTATGTTGGTTTCGTTTGTGGTAATCTAAGAAATGTCGCCTTAGCTCGCCCAAACGCTAAATCGAGGTGGCAGAAGATGGAAGATCATAGACGGACCAATGAATTCACGAAAATGCTGTGTCCAAATTAGCCAATCATGTTACGAGATAACAGATAATCTTCAAATGATATATAAACAGATAAAGAGGTAGTACCCATCCAACTGTGCATTGATGATGCCTCCTCGTATAGTGACGAAACTTTTGCAAGTCACTTGCAAGGCTCGGCGAACAGATAAATAGCCACTTGCTCACCAACCAGTGAATGGGTGGAATAATCCCTGCCTTCAAGGGTTGAAGTTGAATAAAGCTCATTACTTATCTAATACACTCATCTGCAAACCATTTCAGTTTTGACGGGAGACATTTCGGTTTTGACGGGAGATTTACCTGGAACCCGGCTGAATCTCTCGAGTATGATGTTTTTAAGTAGTGTATTACGTCTCTACAAGTTTCATTATCTTTTCGAGGCGTTCGTGAAGCAGGAGTTTTCTAGCAACTAAACGGTGGGTGGATATTGCTACCGCTCAGCTGAGTATCGCTGCCCAACTCATTTGTTTCATATTTGATCCGCTAGTTCAACCCCACACTACTAGTGACATACTCGCTCTCCTAGCGTCCACTAGAGTTAACCCAGCAGACTACCGCCGGTTAGCTCCACCTCCTTCAGACACGTTTCCAACCGATAATCGACAGTTCAGAGCGGCAGATTTCACCCACCTTCAGTCTCTGGTTTATCCTCTATTTAGTTGTCCTCATTTAATGTCCTCAATCAGCTGATCTACACTCACCTTTTGTCCTTTCTACTACGGTTACCTGAACGACAAATATTGTATTGTTCTTATCGATCGCCTAACGACACCGATGGGTGTGAAATTTTACCTTATAAAAA